ATATAACTAATAAATACACATAACAATAACTCGAAGCTTGTCACTCGGTAAACTAAGAATAATCACACGACTGTTATTTACTGAATGTAATATTACTGTTGATGAAGAGATCGAACGCTGTTGAACGTTCAAAACAAATGAGTGCAGGCTAATGGCTTGAATTACAAATTCGAAGTATTTGAAAATTTGTCCCGCCGCGATGAAAACGCATGCGCCGTCATGTTTGCGCGGCCTGTTTAAATCGAGATCCCTTGAGATACAACAAATTTAAGAATAGACGGTAAGAAAATTATATTTTGTTTCAATTAATATATACCGGTGAGATTGAGAAGACTAGTTTCACGGATAATGAATCTGAAAATGATAGATTACCGCTACCTTTTGTAGATAAAGCGTTATTGATTATGTGCCATTCTGAATTCAAGCAGCAAGCTTATATTACTTACAAATAAAATACTCTAACTCAAATTTCGTACGCACGCTTATACATAACTAATAAATACAGTATTGAAACGCAAATATTTGGCATGCACGCTTATGTAACTAATAAATACCATATTCATTTCAAATGAAATTAAAATCAAAGCTCATGGGATTGCTAGGCTACCGGATAGGTTAATGAGGTGTTAGCAGGAGATTGAAGAACGCCATTCGACCAGCATCGGCAAAAGTCTCCATAAATAATCCAGTCTATAAAAATGTAATTGCAGATTAGTAAAGATGTATGTACAGTATTTAGAAGAACCGAGTTAATTAAAACGACTGTGATTTACTGAATTGATATATATACATACCGATCATGATTTAATCCGTGTGTATCAGCAACAGGGGTGAATAGTATCGAAGATATTTATATCGAAGAGCGTATTAGGTATACGAAGAGTCTCATATTTGACAAGTGAGGAATGAATTATAGTGTTACTAAATAAATATTTATGTTTTGTAAGTTTCTGGTCAGCCCCAACGCTAAAATTCCACTTATTATGAAGAAGTTTTACACCTAAGTAAACAAAAAATTAAATAAAAAATATTATTTTTTGAAATAATGATATTACCATAGTACATTAGTTAATTAGTGCAAGGAAGTAATTTCTTGTCTCGAATCAGTTTTATGCCCGAGCAAGGCGAAGCGATGACGAAAAGGTACATAAGACGAGAATCTCTCCTGAACGTGTTCTATACGGTATTTTTTAAAACAACGTGCGGAAAGCGCAAATTCGAGCGTACGTTTTTCACCAAACGTGCGGTGACTTTCGTATTTTCTTTAAGTTGAGTCGTACTTTCCGCACGGCATGATCAAAAGAGAATATCATAGTATTACCTGTAATTTGCGCATAATGTACAGAATTTGTCTTCCACGCAGAAATAATTTTCATAGACGAAATAGAATTATCTGGTAAATGAATTTGAAAACTTGTTAAACTGAGTAGATTGTCAAATGGCATAAGTGGAAATCCACTTATAGCCAATAAGTATTCGTTATCACTAACAATTGCCATGTCAAAACTACTAATTTCTAATTGGTATAAACGAAGTTTCATTTCATCATTAATTGATAATTTTTTTATATCAGCTTCTTTATTAATAAAAGAAAAATGCCAAGTTTAAAAATCCACCAGATGCCATGGTCATTATAAATATTTAGATATAAGTCCTAAAACAATATTCATACATTTGAGAAATATTATAAGATATTACTTCTGCAAATCATCCTTACCTTATGCATCCATCCAAACAAGCAACAAAATGGAAGACATCTTGACTATTATTAGAAATTTTTAAAGTGCTTAAATTTAAAATCTTAATTTTCCATCACGCCCACTGGCAAGTGAATTGCTATTAACTATAATACATGACTGTACATTCAGTCTACCATGAATCCTTTTGAAAGATTGAATTAGGTTGATAGAGTCGATTTGCAGTCTGTACACATACATACTATCCTTTCCTTCTCCACATATTATAACATTTTCATATGGACAAGCTGTTGCAACCATCTTTATCGACTACCAAACAATTTGAATTGTAATAAAATTTGAAAACCTTAAACATAAAATTTAACATTTCAATATTGAAATATTCGTTATATCATTGTTACTTCATTACATATTAACTGTTAATAAATTCTACCTTGAGTAGAAAATTGAGCCACACTGATAAAAACAACAATTCAAAACTAATATTGAAATGTTTTTAAATGTACTTTTGTAAAGCGATATTTCAACTTTAAGTGAAGCTAAAGCAATCAACTGTCTATCTGGAAACATTTGTATAATCTGTAGCTTGAATTATGTATAGGTAGATTATAAGCATCAACCATCAAGTTTTTATCTTCTAAACCACGTAGTAAGTTACTAGAACTTCTCATAATTGACAAGCACCTCCTGTAAATAATATTGTCTTGTGACACATCTATACACCAAACTGGGGCTCCACCTGAGCTTTCCACTTTCCCGATATTTTGCCAGACAAATCTCAAAAACATATTCAGGAATCCTTAATTTTAGAAATAAAAAGACATTTAACAACTGTGATGATACAAGCTAATCAATATAAATTTGATATATAATACTAGATAATTGTTTCACTTTCAACTACTACATGTAATAGATTCAAGGACTGAATTTGCAATAAAAGATCTCAATTGACAACTACTTTTTCTATTAAACAATCGACCTTGAATATTTTACTCCCATTTTGTAATTGTATTTTGGAAGTTTAGTTTAAGAAGCAAACATTCATCCTGTGTCAAGTTTTTCCAGAAAGATTTGATGAAAAGTACCTGATAAATGTGTGTTTCAGTGGTAGCATCTATTAGTTCTCCTTTAGCTGAGATAAACACACGCATGTTAACTTGATGTCTTCTACAGAAGAGGCCAAAACTAAGCCAAAATATTTTGTAAAGACTCATCGTCTGACCCTCCTTGTCCTTGCTACTGTTATGAAGTGCACTGAGTACACGTTAGAATGTCAACTGCATCTGAAATTTATTTATTATGTATTATTATAGCAATATTCTCTTTGTTATCCTCCACTTGGAATGTTAGACAAAAGCTGCATTCCATATCAGATGTACAAGTCAGAACAACTTAAATTCATGAAATAAAATTGATAATTCAACTAAGCCAGCAAACAAAACTGATCGCACAGTATACAAATATATTTGTTTACTTTAGAACTAAGAACTACAATTCAGCCATACTAAGACACAATATAATAATTCAACTAAGCTTGGAAACAAAACTAATTCTACAGCGTACAGATATATTTATTTACTTGAAAATGAAAGAGCTACTATCACGCTATAGTAAATAAATGTTCAAATTGAATCTTCATATATTACTTACTCAATTGAAAAACATCCCAGTGTCCACCATAAACGTCCCAGTGTCCTCCATAAAATTGATCGCACAATATACAAATATATATTTGTTTACTTTAAAATTATAAATTGATTTAATTCAGCCATACTGAAATAATAATTGAACTAAACTTGAAAACAACACCAATTGTACAGTGTACAGATATATTTATTCACTTGAACATGAGTTACTATCAGACTAGTAATTAAATGTTCAAATTGAGTAATATATTTTTTATTTACTCAATTGAAAAATTTCGCACTCCGACTGAACTCGTCAACTGAACAACAATGCTTCAGTTGAATTTAGTTTACTTCCGTTTACTATAGATGGCATTAAGTCTGCGACTGTGTGGGAAGTTGATACCCAGGAGAGGGTAGGTTTGAGGATGGCAGCCCACAACTGCCTGGCTGGTTGGTGGAGAAGAGAGAGACAAGTCGGTCTGAAAGTGAGAGACTTTATTTTAGTACCAAAATCAGCGATACAGTTAGGTGTGCTGAAGGCTTGAATAGCAAGTTCGGACTGGCGCGTGTGCGCGCGAGTCAAAGCACAGTGTCGAGCCATGATCGGTCAGGAAGAGAGGAGAGTTACCGACTCAGACCGTGAGAGAGCTGTGTGCCCCCACATACTCCCCCACGAGAAAAAGCATTAAAAAAAATTAAGTGTACAACAAGGTGGGTGGCTAACGCACAAGCCGACTGACAAAACAATCTAATATTGCGGAACAAAACTGTAGTTACAAAAAAATTACAACTAAAGATAAGTCGAGAACAGGTACATGTAAGGTAAGTGGGGCATAAGAACAATAAGTGTTAAATTAGTGCTCCGAAAAGCCTTAATACAAAGGATTCAGTCTCGAACGTTTCTGGTTTGATTAGAAAGGGTTGACAAGCTTGCCACACGCTTTGAGGGAAGCTGTCAAGATCACAAACTTTAATTAGGTAACGCAATACAAATTGGCTTAAAACTAACTTAATGCTTCTTAGTACTAGGATCGAAACGAACTCGGCGAGGAATCTGAAGCTGATCTGATCGCGAGTAAGTTTTTAAAGAGGAAACAGGCTTTTTGGGATCAACGCACGGAACAGAGAGATCCAAAAGTGGAGTGCCGAGACTTTCCGGAACAAAATAAGCCGGTTTAAGTAATCCCGTCGATACGACCTTGGGCACCCCCTTCACATCGATCTTGAAGGTGCGATCTGAGACGCGCTCGAGAATCTTAAATGGTCCGGAGTAGGGCCTTTCGAGAGATTTGACTGCTGGAGAGCGCAGAAAAACATGCGTGCACGAAGCAAGGTCCTTGAAAACGAAGGGGCGCGTGCCGTGGTGATGTTAAAATGGTACTGGCTTGAGCTGACGCATGGGCTTGCGGTAATCCTTAATAAATATTTAAGGATTGGCCATGAAATCGTCGGATATGAAAAATTCGCCCGGAATGCGGAGGCTGGTTCCATAAAGAAATTCAGCGGGGGTCACACCCGTGTCGAGACGCACAGCTGTGCGTAAGCCGAGGAGCACAGTCGGAAGGACGCTTCGCCAATCAGGATTGTTGTGGCACATGAGTGCAGTTTTAAAGCTGCGGTTCCAACGCTCGATAAGGCCGTTGGCGGCAGGATGATATGCGGCGGTCCGCTTGCGTTAATAGCCAAGGAAGGCGAGATAAGCGTTGAAGATCTTCGCTTCAAATTGTGCACCCTGATCGGTGGTGAGGAAACGGGGAGCACCGAAACGCGCGACCCAATGCTCCTGGAACGCACGAAGAACGGTAGAAGCTTCAATAATTTTAAGAGACACCGCCTTAGTCCACCGCGAAAAACGGTCGATTATGGTTGAGAGGCCTAATAATATCCATGTAGACGTGACGAAAACGGTCGTTAGGAGCCTCAAATTTGAGGGGCTCATTCTTGACGTTGCGAGAGATTTTCGCTTGTTGGCAATCGGGGCAAGCTTGACACCAGACTTTGGTATGTCGATGCATTGCAGGCCACACGTACCTCTGCCTGAGCATAATTGGGTCGTTACTTTGGAGCTCGGATGCGATAGTGAGTGGAACAGGTCGAAGACTTTTTTACGAAGAGTTTTCGGAACGTAGGGGCGAATTATGTTACCCGTTAGATCACAATAGAGATGATTGTGGTTGTGACCAAACTCAATGCTCTTGAGAATAAGTGAGTGGTTAGACGATTCGAGGAGCTCTTTCAACTCTGTGTCGTGCTGCTGGTGCTGCACCAGCTCTAGCATTTCGAAATCGAGGGGAAGACGAATGGTCTCTACGCGCGAGAGAGCGTCCGCGGTTACGTTGACTGTGCCAGGGAGGTGCTCAAAATGCGTGGTGAACTGTGAGATGAAACAAAGCTGGCGGCGCTGACGCGGAGAGGCCTTGTCTAGCTTTTGAGAGGAAGCAAAGGTCAGCGGCTTGTGATCAGTTAAAACCTTGAACGCACGGCTTTCGAGAAAGTACTTGAAGTGTTTGATTGCTTCGTAAACTGTAGTTACGCTGAGATGACGACAATTTTTGCGAGAAGAATGCGAGAAGCTTCCAGTCGCTGTCAATGAGCTGTTCCAGAGCTGCACCCATCGCAAAATCCGACGCATCCGTAACTAATCGAATTGGAGCGTTAGGAGACGGATGAATAAGGTGGCAAGCATTCACGAGGGCATCTTTGGACTTCTGAAACGCCTCGACAGCCTCGGGCGACCAATCAATGACTCTGGTGTCATTCTTTTTGGAGCTGTGAGAGAACGAGTGCAGCGGAGCTTGAACAGTAGCTGCGTGAGGCAGGTTTCTACGATAGAAGTTGATGAGACCAAGAAATTTACGAAGCTCGACGATTGTCTTAGGTTGAGGGTAATCGATGATAGCCTGAACTTTCTCGCGTGAGGGCCTGGAACCGTGCGGGTCGATGAGTTGGCCAAGAAAGACAATCTCAGACCTACCGAACTCACACTTGGCGAGGTTAAGTCGCAGGCCAAATTTCCTGAGTCGCTCGAAGACAATACGAAGGTGTTTCTCGTGATCTTCGGGCGAAGAAGAAAACACAAGAATGTCGTCGAGATAGGCGAACACGAAATTAAGGTCCCCCAACGCTCTGTTGATGTAGCGTTGAAAGGAATGCGAAGCATTACGGAGGCCAAAGGGCATAAAAACGAACTCAAAGAGGCCAAAGCGCATCGTGACTGCCGTCTTTAATACGTCAGTGGGAGCTACCGGAATTTGGTAGTAGGCTTTGAAAAGGTCCAGCTTAGTAAACACTTGCTTGCCCTACAAAAGGATAGAGTAGTCGTGCAAGAAGGGAATTGGAAATTTATCCGGCACGGTACAAGCGTTGAAGCGCCTGTAGTCGCCACAAATGCGCCAGGAACCGTCTTGTTTCTTGACCATGTGAATGGGACTGGCCCATGGGCTTATGGATAAGCGGTAAATACCTTGTTTGACAAGATTTTCAAATTCGTTACGAGCCGCCTTATACTTTACCGGGTCTAAACGCCTAGTACGCTCAGTGACAGGAGGACTAGAAGTTTCGATATAGTGGAATATTTCTTTCGCGGTGAGGGGATTGGAGGGTCTCTCCCCCGTCACCTCGGGAAACTCTGCCAAAAGTTTGGACAAACTAGAGTTGGCATCGAGAACGCTGATCTTGGTCGCTTGAGCTAACTTAAAGCAACCGATTGAAAAGGTTTTAGAGTGTGGATCGACGACCCTACGCTGTTTGAGGTCGACCACAAGGCCGAAAAAGTGTAAAAAATTAGCACCGAGGATAGCACTGGTAACATCAGCGCGATGAAATTTCCAAGGGAAGTTACGCTTTAGTCGAAGGTCAAGAACGAGGCTCTGTTCTCCGTAAGTGTTGATAATTGAGTCGTTCGCGGAAAATAGCTTAAATCGAGTAGGCGTGTTATCATTAGCCCTTTTTGGAAGTAGCGAGATTTCAGCTCCTGTATCGACGAGGAAACTGAGTCCTGAGGCTACGTCACGAATGTGGAAGCGCTTGGAAGAATGACCAACTCCGCTCGAGGCTTCCGCTCGAGGGAGAGAGTTTAGTTTCCGAAGAGATGGGACGCCAACAGCAATTGCCTCGGCAACGGTAGGCCTTGCTGCCAAATTTGGCGTGCAAATAGCACAACCCGTCAGCGCCGGTCGTTTGGTCCGAGGATTTTTTATTACGCGATTTAGAGCGGCCGCGGTAAGGATTCCTAGATTGAGAGTGGCCTCGGTTTTTCTTGAGGGATTCGAGGCGGTCGAAAATGCGAGCGATTTCTTTATGCAAATCTGAGAGGGACGAGGAAATGAGGTCCACGTTTACCGCGTTGACACGAGAAACTTCAGTGCCAACAGAAGCCATAAACTTGTCGGCTACTACAGCGAGTTTTGTCAAGTCGACGATTTCCGAAATGGAGAGCGCGGCACGACAGTCAGGAGGGAGTTGTTCGAGAAAAATAGTTTTGAGCACGTCCTCCCTACAGCCAGAACCAAGGGAACGTATGCGGCTAAGCACTAGAGAAGGCTTCCCTTCGAGAGAAAATTGAGTGCGCAATAGTTGACGCAACCGATTTGCTGCTGAGCCACTGAAGGTGGCCGGCAAGCGATTTTTGACTTGTTTGTAGAGATCATCGGGGCGCGGATCCTGGTCTAACAAATCGATAACTAGGTTCATCGCGTCATCATCGAGCTTTTCTGCGATGAAATCAGCCTTAGTGTCAGATGCAGATATCCCTGCATTCCGGAGAGTAATCTCGCACTGTGAAAACCAGACTTTGGGGTCGTTACGTAGAAAACTGGGAATCTTCGGAGCCCTGTAGGCGGCTACCTGAGGTGCGGGACAAGCTGCAGCAATGGCAGCAGTGAGCTGCTGGTTCTGTTCAATAGCTAGGTGGAGGGCTGCCTGAAGTTCGTCGACCTGTTACTGAGTGGCCATGATAAGGCTGGGGGAACACTATCAGTGTTGTCGAAAGACGGGTTAATCAGCACTCGCAGGTGTAGCGCGACAGAAAAATAAATAAGTCGACACTGATTGGAACGCAGCAACAGGTTACGCGCGTGTCAGTGTTAACAAAGAGCTAATGTGTACACGAAGGTACATCACAAACAAAATGCCGCGCGGCACTGACATCCTAAATATTATTCTAGTAAATTCCGACGCACGCGTATTAAAACAAAATCAACAGGAATTCCACGAAACCCTCGCTAGAATAAAGCCGCGCGCGTGCGAAAACTAAACACTGATTCCTACGTAGACGCTAAGGGGAAACGTAATTCTAAGAATCAAGGCAAAAGCCTAAAACACACGCACATTGCTTTGCAAAATGCACACACGCACGCACGCACGCCGCTTTGCAAAATGCACACACACCAAATGAACACTCGCAGAATGTTACTGTTTGTGACCTCTGCACGATCACACACTAGCTTACTTGAAGGTCGAATGAAGAAATGGCGATTCGGGCTTGCTGACGAAGTTCGCTTGAGTGCAGCAGCTATGGGCCCCAGGATACCTCGGCGCCGTGTAGACAAGGTACGTGGGCGATGAAAGTAACGCGTGCTGAAACACGCGGAGTGGACGACGAGGCGTGTTGGGAACCGCAGGCGAGGGCGGAGAGGCGCGCTGGTAAGGTGCGCTGAAGGAGTTCTCCGCACGACGACTCCTCTCTCCTCTACGTCGAGGGGTCACCAATGTGGGAAGTTGATACCCAGGAGAGGGTAGGTTTGAGGATGGCAGCCCACAACTGCCTGGCAGGTTGGTGAAGAAGAGAGAGACAACTCGATCTGGAAGCAAGAGACTTTATTTTAGTACCAAAATCAGCGATACAGTTAGGTGTGCTGAAGGCTTGAATAGCAAGTTCGGACTGACGCGTGTGCACGCAAGTCAAAGTACAGCGCCGAGCCATGATTGGTCAGGAAGAGAGGAGAGTTACCGATTCAGGCCGTGAGAGAGCTGTGTCCCCCTACAACTGAGCACCAATGTTCTATTTATTCTTCACTATTAGTTAAAATGAATAGCTGAGTTAGATGAACTATGATACATCTAATATAATCACTTTATTTGAAAAGAGTGAATTCGCTCTAGTGTATTATAATTGAAAATTCTGATCTGCACATCATTGAACATAATATTAATTATATTAGTACGGTATAACAATATAATTAATTAACTTACAAAATTATCTATTCGTACAGCATCTACAGCTTTTCAATAAAAATGTTTTCGCGGAATCGTTTTTGAAAATGTAAACATCACTGAAACTGGAACGAGAGAGAGAACAGCTAACTGTGGACGTACAAACGATATAGATTCGTCTCGACTTCATGAAAATGAGCAACATTGTTCCATTCGAGGTGCATGTGCAAAACAATATCATAATAACCTTTTTAAATGCGCAAGAGTATTATTTTATTTTAATTAATTAAATGATAAACTTTTAATAACTTTTTTATGTTGGGTGCCAATAATGCGTGAGATGTACTAACGATTGGTATATTGTAAAAAATTATTTTCACGATATAAACCACTATATTTGGAGAATCAAATTTGAGTGCTAGCGCCAGCACCCATAATTAATTTTATCAATTTTTCACATAAAGAAAATAGGCATAATCGACGCACAAACGATATGTGATTAATTAAAAGCCGCCTAATTGAATGGTGTAAGTAGTTTATAGATTTGTTCAATATTTCAATTGTTGGGTGCTAACTTTTAAGACCTAGTTGCTGGCAGCGATGAGCACCTCCCCTTATTCAACCCAGAAAATACTTTAAATTAAAAAAAATATATTTTTTAATTAAGTTGATTTTGCTCGGAGTATCTACATTTTTCGAATAATTTGCCCTATTCCCATTAAATTTAAAAAAATTATGAAAGTCAACAAATATTATACGAACTTCTTCTAACAATATTTCCACAAAATATCAATTTTTTTTAAATATTAAGATCTAAAAAATATTGCTCGCTATGCAACTGATTTTGCTCGCTTTATAAAATTGAAAATTACACTAATTTTTCTTTGAAAAAACCTCAGCATCATAATTAACATTTTGATCAGTTCAAAAAAATTGTTGTACATGTGCACTAACGTACGACGCCGTGAAGCACACACACACACATGCATGAATATGTATATATATTTTTATTTACAACTTATGTTACATTTGGTTTTTTTTATTTCTTACATTACTATTTGTGTCTCGTGACCAGTTTGTGTTTGTGTAGTTGATGATGTATGTGTTTTGTGTGTGTATGTATGT